ACTTAAATCCATCTAATCCTTCTACGATCTTTGTACGCAGAACCGCACATGCTGATCATGGAGTACGCGATGCGCGGACGTCTGCTGTCGCTGCTGCGCGCCGCACGCAGCGCGACAAATATTCTGCCCGCCTCGGTGCCGGGCGGACGCAGCCTGGCGCCGCTCTCGCCACGCACCCTGGCGGGCTTTGCGCTGGACATTGCCTGCGGCATGGAGTACATAGCCGGGCACAGGGTGAGCTCAGTTTCCAACTAACCGAAACGATCAGACTTTTGACTTCTACTCATTTTCTATCCACAGATTGTCCATCGGGATCTGGCGGCGAGAAATGTGCTGCTGGATCACAATGGCATGTGCAAGATCTGTGATTTTGGCATGTCCATTGATCTGGATGCGGAGCGCATGCGCAAGGAGCAGGAGAAGAATGCGGCTAACGATATAATGCGCAGCAATGCGCAAAAGTTTAAGTTCGACTTTGGCAGTCGCTATATATTGCAGCATTGGCAGCACACCTTTGGCCAGGGCCAGCAGGGCGGCGGTTGCTCCAAGGATCAGGCAGAGAAGAAGCATCATGGCCATGATACAATTGGCAAGCGGCATGCCCTGCCCATACGCTGGATGGCACCGGAGAGTCTACAGTTTCACATGTTCACCACCGAAACAGACATTTGGGCCTTTGGCATCGTCCTCTGGGAGATTGCCACGCTAGGTAGGAAGCGACTCGGCTCCTTATATTATATTTCCTCTACTCACTTCTCATTTCCTGGCCAGGCTCTACGCCGTACTCGCATCTGACGGGTCGCGAGGTCATACGCCGTGTGCCGCAGGGCCTGCGACCCGAGCTGCCCAAGGAGAGCCGGCACGAGTTCTACAATCTGATGTCACGCTGCTGGCACAAGGAGCCGCAGCTGCGGCCCACGTTCGCACAGTCGCGTCTGGAGATCACACGATCGCTGCACAAGTGGGTCGATGATGATTCTGCCGCCTCAGACTATATGGACGTGAGCGGCTTTAGTGAGGATCTCGAACATGGCGTTGTCTACTTCAACCACCGCATCTCGGAGTTTGAGTGCGAAATATGACGTTGACTGAATCACCCCATCCACCAATCCACCATCAATAACCACCTGCACACTAGGGTCCGGCATCGGTTAATACATTTGCCGCAAACTCGGGTCCTCAATCGATTTAAACAAAAACCGACAGACTCGAGCTTACGAGTATTAAGCTAAACGGAGACATTTATTCAAACGAAGTTGAAGCTACTCGACAGCTGCAACATGTTCGAGCTAGTGGTTTGAGACAATACATGCATGATCGATTAGCTCGAACGAGCTCTCAGCGAGTAAGATTCTGTTGAACCGAATCTTCGGTCAAGTCGATCTATTCATTTATTATATTTTCCCAACTTGAGCTTCTTTTCAGCTTGATAATAATGTTTCGGCTTTTCGAAAGCGCGTTTCGTTTGATTCGATGCGGGGCTCTGTTGCACTCCATCATCTCGTCGCCATTGCCCACCAACTAATGTGTACATCAGGCTCATTCGCACACACACACACACACACACCCACACCCACACACACTTCCTGTACCATTTCAAAATTCGCGTGCTTGTCGAGCAGTATTATTTGTATCTGATATCTTTATCTTTGCCTCTTAGTTTCGTTACGTTTTCGGTTGAGAGCTCTCTCTCTCTCAAACTCTTGTAAATATTGTATGCGTTGCACATGATTTATTTTATGATTTTATTATTTAGGCCCTATGTTTAATTAATGGCGCTACTTGTGCTTAGTTGATATTAGTCACTTAGTTCTTCTAGTCTATATCTAAAATTCATTTCCCAAGTTCAGCCGCCCAACGTAATCCGTAGCCTTAGTCGAGTTGACTGCACCGCAATATATGGCACAGAGTTTAGTTTTGAAATTTATTTTTCTCAACATAGGACTTAATATTATTGTTATCGATATAGAAATATATAATTGTACAAATAAATTAATTAAACACGAAATATAATAATTATATTTACACCAATTTAAAAATCTAGCTATATAAGTATCTATATACATAACTTTACTCAGTCAATTTAAGCGTAAATTTTGAAATTTTAAAAATTGCGTTTTGTTAATTGTCAATCGATGCTCCAGATCCGTGTGAGCTATAATATTCCAAGTCTTAACTTATGTATCCTATGTATTCCAATTTTAACATTTTTAAAAAACGTTGCTCATAGCTCGGTTAGTTGAAATCTGATTTGGAAAATAACTGACATTTTGAAAGCTCTATAGAATAGATTGAAATCAAAAATTGTCGATTTTTGAATCCAATTTTCGCCAAAAAATTTAATTAATTTTAAAATTAATCTCTAGCCATTCATATTAAACTCGAGAGTCGGGATCGTTCTGGATTATTTAAAAAACAAATAATTTCAGAAACTATCCGAGCTCTTGCCAAAATTTTGATGTAAAAGTTACGACATCTAGAATTGATTTGTATGTGTCAAACGATAGTAGCTATCCTTATGAGTACAATCAGCCATATAATTTGCAGATTGGACCCTGTAGAGATATTCAAAATAGATTTTAAAAGAGCTTTAGAGTTGATTCTACGCTTATTTAACTAAGAATGTATGGATTGCAAAAATATGGTAAATATTTAAGAGTAGCCAATCGCGTATCTATTTTAAGATGCTTTTTCGTTTCTGTATCTAAATGGAATGCAATAGCTAAATATTTTATCTAAGTGAGGGCTCATTTATATGAAGTTTTAGCTTAAACATTTTCTATCGAGCTGGCAGCGCTACTGTCGAGCTCATAAGGTTGCCATCTTGCTCAACTAAAGTCTACAACGTGCTTACAAGCAGCTGGCAACTACAACCAGTTACGATTGGAGCTAGTTTTTTTGAACTAGCTCAAAATTTAAAATTTGCTTTTAAGGCAACCAAAAAAGTAAAATCAAAAACATTTTGTTAATTAATAATAGAATAATTATTTAAGTTCAATTTTTCGCCGGCTTTAAGCTGACAGATAACTTGTGCTTAAAAGCATAAAATGTATAATTACCAAAAATCGAAGCTGATTTACCTTGAGGCATCATATAACCGGAAGGCCCCGCACATATCTGTGCTTGGCATATTCTAAACGAGACTTAATGCATAATTAAGCAAACGCTATGCATTAAGGCAGCATATTAAAGAGTTTCAGCTCAGTTTAGTTTCTGAAGCTCACAGTTGCATAGGCGGCGCACATCTTCCTCGTTGTTGCACAATTGAGGAACTAAGCAAATCGAGTCGCAGCGGGATCATCAATCAAGGGATAAATTTTATGACTGCCAGCAATTTGGCTGTTCAGCAGGCACAACAACAAAAGGGAGTCGACGGTAATTCGCAAATTAGCCAAGCTGAATGCGGACTTTCTTATGGCCATGGCAGATGTTAGCGGGAAAGTCGGCTAAAGAGTTTTTCACGTCGCGTTCGTTTGCATCGCTGATTGATGACGCTGCAATAAAATAAAACGCCAGCGATGCGGTAATATGTTTAATGGACATAAACATAATGTGCGTAACGGCCTAAAGAGCCGAAACACGCATTGCGTGAAAAATACAAAATAAAAAAAAAATTATAAAAGTAATGCTAAAAATGCAGCAGCTGTGCCAAGAAAGTGTGAAGAAAATTTCTAGTGGCAATTGAAAGTGAGCAGATGCCAACTTAAGCCTCCTTAATTTCCACTAGCCAAATGATAAAGCTATAGCCATAAAAGCGCACAAAACCCGAAACTAAAAGAAAATGATCATTAATGGAGCAATAGCCGGAGTTTGCAGTTCAATTAGCGGGGAGTAAGCCACTAACTGTGCAGTTTAAGTCACGGCCGAGGGCAGACTTTGCAAAAAGAAAACGAGTTAAGTTGAGCTAGTCGAAAGTGACCGACAGAGAGATACCCTAAGCCCAGCGAAGAGCCTTCTAGCTTCCTTCTTGGCAGACATGCGATCGGAATCACGCAGCTTGCAAGTTTTCTTCTTCTTGTCCCCCTTCTTGTCTGATATTTCCAAAATTATCAATGTTTTAGTATGGCATACAAAAGTGTGTATATACTAAAAAGCAAGGCCTTATCATTAAAAATTCATATTTATTCAATTTTGAAGGGAGGGGAGACTCGGTATCCAAAGTGTTTGAAATTTAAAATACGTTAATATTTTATGAGAATCTTAATATCAAGTTTGGTGTATCAAAATTTACAGGCTATTCCTAGAAGATTATGTGTCAAGGATAATGTTAATCGATATTATGAATATGGCACGGAAATCAAAAGAATGATAAATTATGAAGACATATTCCATATATTATATATTTTTTTTTAATATGTGAAATCTTTTTTTTTTAGGATATATTCCTTTTTTTTATGAAAAGTCTTTCACGGACAGACGGACATACCCAGACCTACTATTATTCGTTATTTTCTACAAGAATATATACTATATACGCCTCGAATTTTCCGCCTTCTGCCTGTCACATGCTTTTACAAAAAAACCTATAGACCCTTTTTAGCCATTTTCAGATGAAAGACAATAGAAGAAAAAACGAAAGTTAGTCGCCTACCTTTCGTCTGCCTGCCAAAAGTGGCAGCTTGTTAAATTGATTTACGCTGCGGGCCCTCGCCCGACTGCTGACCCCCAGACAGGCTGCAGCTGATTGCAGTGTCAGGCAAATCGGTAGTTAACGACTCTTTAACTATTTAATTTAGCTATGCATATTTGTCAGGCTTCCGCGCATTTTGTTTCCTGACCCACAAAAGAAAACAAAAAAAAAAACAAAAGACTTAAGACACGAACTTTGTAATGAGGCGTGAAGAAGCGCGCAAAAGCTTCCGCATTACGTGCGAGCTATTTAGCAAATTGAAATTGTGTGTGTTTTTTAATGCCAACTAACGGTTCGGTGAACTGCAAAAGAAAAGCAATTAGACAATTGGCAATTTTAATGCAAACACGTCGCAGCAGCAACAGAATCAGCTGCGCAGTCGTCAGCAGCAGCAGAGATAGCGGCAGAGACAGCGGCGCCTCAGCAAACAGTCGGCGGCGAGTGTTGAAAGCGTTAAGACGTGCAAGCGGCAGCTGAGCACAGTTATTCACAGTGTTTGCTCTACTCTCTTGCTCTTGATCTGCTCTCTTTCTATCTCCCTCTCTCGCTCACTCTCTCGCCAGCGAGAAGTGGGAAAAAAGCTGCGGCAAATAAAGGCGCGTGTAAAATCTGTGAAAATTTGCCTTCAAACAAAATCAATAACTAGATGAAGCAAAAGCAGCGACAGCTGAAGTTAACATAAAAAGTGAAAATTACTGAAGAAGTTTGATTGCGGTTCTCAGGAAATAAAGGGTCTGAGCATAAAGCCGCAGCTCCAAAGCGATTGAGGTGATTTCTTGCGACGCGCAGCCTCATTTTATAAATTAATCATAAAAATAAAACAACAAAAACAACAACAACAAAAATCGAACAGCCAAAATCGAAATTGGAATCTTTAAATGCGGCTTCTTTTTTATTTGTGTGTTTTTAGCCAAATATGTGAAATGGAAACAACTTTCTAAAAGAAACAAAAACAACAACAACAAACGAAGCGACGCACCAAAATTTGAATTCTTTTTATTCTTTACGGCCGAGGAAATTGTGTCAGCTTGTTAAGCTGTGCGTGCTGTGCGTCGTGTTGTTGTTGTTGTTGTGTTTATACCCTGCGCCCATCGCAAATATATAAAAAGGGTATACTGTTTTTGTTTGAATTCTTAAGTCGAAGACGAAGACCCCGAAACTTAAATACTCCAAACTTGATTTATAGGTTAATGTGTTTATATACATACGTATTAAAAATATTTTCCTTTGCCTTCCCCTTTTCCCATAAAAGTCATAAAAAACTAAAGTTTGAAGCTAGATCCTTGTGCTCTGCTATAGACACCCTAGCAAATGCTATAATCAATCCCTGAAAATTACATAGATATCGGACTATATAATTCTTAGTTAATCACAAACATTTTATCCATAGAATAGGGCTAAGGCAAATACAAGCATGGCAGGGTATTTTCCAGTCGTGTTTAACCAGAGCACCCCGCATTTCTTGTTGTTTTTAATGGCATCGTTAACAGCGCCGCTTTGCCCTAGTGTCAAGTTCGTTGCCTAAGTCTTTCGTTTAGGGCCGGCAAATTGAATATGTGAGCACGCGCCATCGATTATTTTTCGCCTTTTGGCAGGTTGGACAGTGTACACTGTCCAATATATGAGCTGTCTAGTTCAAGTTGTGTTTACTAGGTTAGTCGGTTAGTTGTTGTTGTAGTTGTTCTTCTTCTTGTTGTTGCTGTTGCTGCAGCAGCCACAAGCTGGTGTCTGCTTATAGGATTCTTGACTCGCGACTTTCTTGTTGCGGTTGTTGTTTCTCTTATTGCAGCGCTTTAATTTGTTGCTTGATGTGTTTTTATTTTGCTTGTTTTTCATTTTGTTTTTTTCGACTGGCCCAGTTTTAACGTCAGTCGCAACGCACGCGAATTATAAGCTAATTACGAGCTGCCAAAGAATTTCGCGAGTGAAATTGCATTCAGCTGCATCTGCAGCATCTGCGCAATTTGTATATCTATTCACTTTTACTGAATGTGGGCGCCTGGGAACCGAATGGCCTGTGGGAAACATTGCGGCTTATTGGCTTAATTTGATTTATGGCATCACTTTCCACAGTGCCCAGCGTATGTTCATATGCAAAAGGCCGCGCAAAAACCAGAAGCGCCGAGGTCGGTCTCTCTCTCCTTCTCTATTGCCTATTGGATGTGTTGCCAATGCCATTGCGCAGGTGTGCAAAATAATTTAAAGACACAGGCACAACGGCAACATCCTCACGACCTGCGCGCCGCTTAAAGCCAAAACAAACGATGCGCAAAAATCTCGGCTCGCTGGCAGCTGGGGGCGGCCGCGTTGCCAACTGAGCTAGCGAAGATGCAACCTGAAGATCTGGCAGCGGCTTTTTATTTACTGGCCTTGTGGCTTGTTTTGGCAGGCTCCTTTGCCAGTTGCTGTTAATGTCTCTCGTTGCCTTTTCTAAACTGTCAACCAGTCGATAGATAAAGCCAAGCCAAAGCGTCGGCAAGTTTTCACTTTTCAACTGCGCAAAGGTCAGCACAAAGGCAACTGCAACTGCTGCAGCTGCTGCAGAGGCTGCCTCTGGCCATGCCTTAAGGAGCTGCTGTCTGTCTGTCTGTCTGTCCGCCTCCCTCGGGCCTGGGTGTAGTTAGCATTTAAATTTGTCAGCTGCCATCGCATTCGCATTCACAGACGAGCGCTTTCGAATGCAATTGTTTGCATTCCGTGGGCGCGCGCGCCTTTGCATTGTGATCGACGAAAAAAAAAAAATCAACATACATATCAATGCGGGTTCAAGACGAGGGCACGTGCATGTCTAGCTTATTAATCAGGAAATCGGTTTCAAATATTGAAGCACAGTAGCTTCAGTTCTTCAACCCCAAAATGCAAAGTTGATTCATATCGACTGTGCTAGAAAAGGCGCACATTTAATAAACTTATATGAATCACATCTATATATATATAAATCTATCTGGCATTTCTCAGCCTTGCCCGATCTGCGTTTCACATAGGTATTTGATAATGATTTGAAACCATCCACTTGAGCAACAGAAGTTTGAAACAAAGTTATTCCAATTATTATTATTCCAAATAAACTTTAATTTTTCGACTTTTGGGTAGGATTAAGTTAGCTTATTAAAAAATTGAGACATCTTATAGGAATTGTATAAAGTTCCCTGGAAATGAGCTTAAAGCCGTGTGGGTGGTGCCTATGAAAAGAAGTGGGGATCGAAGGTAGTTAGAATACATTGAAATTCTCCCATTAAATGCAATAGCAAAACCTTTCAGGCTTAAACTGTCAGTTATACAGTTAAATATTTTGTGTAAGTCTATAAACTCTTAAGCTCTTGAAGAAAGTATTATAATTAGGGCGTGAAATAAGTAACGCCTAGAAGAAGCCATCTTCGACCTCATAAAATAAATATATTCTTGATGACGACCAACAGCCGATAGCCGATGAACCTTCATGAATCCTTGCTTAATTCTGTCCTCGTCTTGTTAACAGTATATAAGTCGGATCAGAGCACTATATCATATAGCAGCCTTAAAAATCATCGGTTGAAAACTGCGTACTAGTACGAATAGCTTTCATCTTTATCAATATATATGTTGCCCCTTACAAGTAAACCAAATATTTGAAATATAGGACTTCTATATTATCTAGCTCTGTAGGAAGAATAAGTACATTTCCTATTTTCATTTACGACATTTACAATACTTCTCATATGTCGGAAGGCCATACTTTTTTTAAGAGTATATAATCTTCGGCGTGCCGCAGCCTTTTTTATTATTTATGTTATGACAGCAGCAGAATATTGTTGCATAGTGTAAAATTATTGTTATCAGCCGCAAGGTCTTTGCCTAGTTAGCTGCACAGATCACAGCTTGCAGAGGTTGCCTGATTTATGACTGAATATGTGAAGTGGCAGGAGAAGCACAAGAGCAACTGCAACAACAACAACAACAACAACCGCAACACTGACAACGGCACTTATGAGTTGTTTGGTGCTTCACGCCTTGTTGAGCAGGCGAAGATGACGTTGGCCACAATGCGGCGCTGGCTATGACTGTGACTGCGACTATAGCTAAGGCTATGGCTATGGCTATGGCTATGGCTATGGCTATGAATATGGCCTGTGACTATGGGTACGACTATTCCTCTAGCCTATAGCTGTGGCTATGGCTATGCTAGCGGCGATTACCTAAAGCCGCAGCGGTAGCTGCCGTAATAGCCACTGCGACGACTTGATTATGATTGCGGCTCAGCCCCGGGCGCTGACGCCGTGTGTGTGGTGCGATGGTGCGGTGGTGCATTGTGGTGTTTACGGTTTTATTACAATTGTTAATGCTCATGTTAATGGCTTTTACTTTCGGTGGAAAGGCGAACGACAACAACAACAACAACAACAAATTCAAATCTGAGGCAATGAAAGCAAAAGTTCGTTGCCTAAGTCTTTCGTTTAGAATGCGCGCTGTCGAAAGCGTGCGACGCATAACAATAAATTATTTTTAGTTTTGGGAAGTTTTTGGATGCTTTATTTGTGGATTTTAATTGCGTCTTAATAACTGCAATCTGTACCCCCATTTTTTCTCCAACAACTTTCGTTTGTTTCGCAGCGAAAATGAAAGCGGGCCGCGCTTTTGGGTGCCTCTTCTGGGCGTTGCTTTATTGTGTGCTGTATTTGGATTTGGTCAGCGCCAGCGAGGATGAGCTGCTGGACTTTGATTTTGCCGATGCCACTGAGACGGACGCCAGAGCCAACTTAGAAGACTGGCAGCTGGTCGATGAGCAGCGGGTGGAGCAGGCGGAAAAGAAACTGGAGGACAATATGCTTGACTTTAGCGTGGACTTGGACGAGCCGGAGCCGGAAAAGCAGCTGCCCCAGTTCGATTGGCGCGAAAGAGTGCTGCGCACAGCCCTCTCCAAGGCGTTGACGGATCGTGTGCTGCGCCAGAAATTTGCCGAAGTGATGCCCATTCTGCGCGTGCTGTCGTCGCAGCAGCGCCTGGCGCTCTCCGCCCTGATCTCGGCGCAAATGAACGCCAAGCGCGGCCAGGAGCTCAAGCTGGAGCAGGTCAGCAAGTACATTTAATTAAATCACATTTGTCTCACCTTTCTGCCCGTCTCGCAGGTGCGCATGATGTTTGGCGACGACAGGAAGCTGCTGCTGCCCGTTGTCTACGATCTGGCCAACCTAGTGAAGAGCTCGGCCCGCAAGTACATCCGGCTGGGCAACGAGCTGGCCGCTGCGGCGCTGCGCCAAACGCCGCTGCAGAAGCGCAAGGATCAGCTCACCCTCGAAGAGTCCGAGCAGGACGACAGCGTGGGCACTATTGATGTCGGTGCGAAGTCTGCGGAGGCGGCCAGCTCGCTGGAGGACTTCTTCGATGAGATGCAAGCGGAGGTGCTCGATCCGCAGATGATCAATGAGGCGCTACAGTCAGCCACGCCCACGGTTGCCCAGCCCCAGCCGAACGCGAATCGGACAAGGCGCGTGCGTCGCACGGCCGAGGAATTTGTACACAAGCTGACGCGCTCCGTGCCCGTCTCGGTCAGCGAGCAGCAGCTGCTTGGCGGCGCCGCGGGACGCACCATCAAACTGAACACAACGATCTTCCAGCAACCGCCTAGCGCTGCAGCGGCCAGCACGGCCGCCACACCAGCGATCAGCACCACGCAGTCTTACGAGCAAATAGAGGATCTCGCCCTGGCCGGACTGAATGGCACCGACGCCGACGAGCGTCTCTTTCAGCTGAACAATGACAGCGGCAACAGCAGCAGCAGCAGCAGCGCTGAGGAGCCGCTGCCCAGTCCCGAGGAGCTCATTGCGGGTCCGCGCTATCGGCGACCCAGCCCCAAGTTGCCGGCGATCAAGAGGAAGCGCGTCCAGAGCTCGGTTTACAGCCGTGGCCGGCCGAAGGGCTCGGCCAGCTCGCACAGTCCGGTGCTGGCGCCGCCGCACAAGAAATGCGAACGCTTCACCAATAACATGTGCATACGCACCGACGACTATCCGCTGTAAGATCCACGTAGTTAGCTGGCTTTTGGTACCCTTTCCCGGGTTGTAGCCCGCCCCTAGTCTAGTGTATTAAGATTTTTAGCCTAAATAAACGTTATTTATTTTGTTCACCTTCTCAATCCGATTGCACACATACTTAAGTGGTTTCGGTGGTTCTACTAATTCCCCCTGCTACCAGCTAAGAAAACAAATCCCTCTCTTGACTCTCCACTTTCACCTCAACGCAGCGAACAGATCATGGGCAGCATTCGCCGGCACAAGAATGCGATGAGCGCTCTGCTGGCCGAGTTCTACGACAAGCCCAACAACAATCTCGAGTTTGGCGACGAGTTCGATGACTATCTGCTCAACAAAAAGCGGTGAGTGAAAGACCATTAGTAAACGGCATTAGAAATAACCTCTCGCTAAATATATTTTTTAGGCGCGAGGACGAGGGCAGCGCTGGGGGCATGTGCCAGAGCGTTGTGCGCTATGCCCGCCCACAAAAAGCCAAAGCCGCCTCCGGCGAGTGGAAGTTTATTGTCAACACGGGTCAGCACACACAAACGCTGCGGCTGGAGAAGTGCAGGTGAGCTAGCTATCGAATTGAATTAGTTTCAAGTAAACTATGTTGAAAAAAAAACGGTTTACTGAATTTGAGCCAGCGACCTCTCGGAAAGCCAGATCAAGTCGGCTAATTAGCAGCTGAATTCGCCCGATTTTAGCCAAAAAAAGATTCAGTAAATATTTCAGCTTCATTTATCGCTTAGTCCAATCAATTAGTCAGTCAGGATAATATCTTTGAAAATATATATAAATAACTTGACTCACGAAATTTCGGCAACTCACAATAATCTCTTTCCAAAGTTCATCAACCCAAAATGAACAAATCGAGTAACATAAAGAGTCTACTATTTTTGGCGCAATAAGCTAATGATAGAGCTATCAATCATCATCAACATAATCTCCATTGAAATTATAGTAATTTTCGTTTTAAAAATAGCTAAAATTTTCACTGAAGTAAAGGCTAATATATTGTAAAAATATATTTTGTGTTATGCAGCCCGAAGAAAAAATAGGGCAAATCTGAGAGAGACTGGGAGAGACTCGGAGATGGGTGTTAAATAAACATAATCATTTGTGCCTTATAAATTGTTTAATTAGATATCGTTACATAAAAGCTTTGTCAATTATTAGCACTACCAAGCTATTAGTCATAATGTCAGCTTATTTTCATGACTTGACTGTAGCATTTTGTATGCATAAACTGTTCTAATTGCGCCGCTTTCTCTGCTCGCTAGTAATCCTGGCGAAAGCTGTTCGTATCTGGCGCAAACGTATCGCTCGCACTGTGCGCAGGTCTACAACTACCATCGTCTGCTGAGCTGGGACAAGGTGCGTGGCCTGCATGTGGACATATTCAAGGTGCCCACCTGCTGCTCGTGCCAGGTGGACGGCTATCGGCAGCAGTTTCCGCCGCTCTCATCCATCCAGGCCAAGGAGTACTCGCCGGCCGGCTACAAGCTGTCCAGCAATGTCAATGGCAATGGGAACAGCAACGGCTATAGCACCATTAACGAGGAGGATCTGGACTACAACGACGAAAGCGACGAGGACGATTTGGGGCTTAGCTATGCGCCGTACAACAGTCGCGACAACAACGAACTGAGCTACCTGAGCAGCAAGAAGGTGCGTTCCAAGCTGCCGGCACCAGCCAGCGTGGGCCCCTATCTCAGTCCGCCCGATGATGAGGATCCCTTTGGCACTGGCTACAAGAGCCACAAGAGCAGCAGCTCCAGCTCCAGCTCCAGCGCAAGCTCTAGCTCTAAAAAGTATTACAGCCAGCTGAGCCGCCGGCGGCCGCAGCATAATGAGCCGCGCGTCGACATCGATCTGGATCTGTCGCCCAGCGAGACACAGGCCGGACAAGAGGTAAACGTATTTGGACCAACGCTGGCTGGGGAACAGCCGCGCGTGCCCATCAAGCGCAAGCGTATTTATAGCTCCACCACCCACACAGCCGCAACCGTTGCCAGTGAAGCCGCAGGAGGATCAGCTCGACTACGCATACCCATTCACATATCCAAATCACAGAGCACAGCCGCATCCACAGCCGCAGCCGCAGCCGCAGCCGCAGCCACAGCCGGCAGTCTACCAGCCCGCACAGGAGCCGCAGCCGCAGTCGGTGTCGGTGCTGCCGCCCATGCCCACCAAGCGTCTGCTGCATCCGGCGCAACTGCATCATTTAACCCTGCCCTCGGCCAGAGTAAGCGCCACAACGCCGCGAGCAAGTCGCGACCACGTTTCTATGCGCCCGCTGCGACGACGCCCGCAGTCGCTGCCACCTCGAGCCCAGGCAGCCCAGCGGCGCCACTACCGACCACCTTCGTCCAGCAGAAGCAGCAGCAGCAGCAGCCGACGACACTTCCACAGCCGCCACATGTGAGCTTCACCTTTGGGGATTCGGGCATCAGCAACGGCAACGGCACGAGGCGCATCAACTACAGCTACCATCCCATCATAGATTTCTTCGAGAAGAACAGACGCGCGGAGGCGACAACAGCCGAGGTTAAGCCGCAGCCGCAGTCGGAGCCGGAGGAGGTGGAGGTGGAGGTGGAGCAGGAGCAGCGCCTGGGCATGGGCGTCTATCAGCATGCGATGTCCGCCTCGCACGAGCGTCGCATGGGCTTTGGCTTTGCGGCGGCTGGTGCAGCTGGTGCTGGACGCTTTGGCTTTGCCAATGACAATGCATGGCAGCCGCTGGTTGTGGCCCATTAAATTTAACTCGCATGCCCCCCCGCCCCCTTTCCATTCGAATACCCTAGCTTACAGTCGCATGCGGCAGTTTGTTGTATTAATTCGTTGTCGCCTTAGCTTGTAGTTGTGCCTGGCGGGAGTAAGTCCTATAATTGTCTAGTTATTGCAACTGAACGACGTAATCTGCCTAATCTTACCTAACTTTATGTTTAACAGCATCTAATTAATTTATGCATTAATAATTTATTTATTTATTTGTAGTGCGTAGCAAAAAAAAAAAAACAACTGAGGGCTTGAGTTGAGTTGTAGAAGTAAAAATAATTTATTAAAGTATAATAAACACAAATTTAAATCATTAGTAAATACATTAACATTTTTAGTTGCATATTTTTAGCAACATTTAAAGAATATTTTTCAGCTTGAAAGAAATATTTATTGAAATGATCAAATGAAAATCATGTGAAATTTATTTACATATTTTTATAGCTGTATTTTCCAGCTAAATTAAATACAATTTTTGCAGATTAAGAAAAGTAGTTAGTCAAATAATACAAATTAAAATCATTCCCATATTCCTTTACATTTTTTTAACGTTGCATTTTGCAGAAAAATTGAATGTATTTTTTGGGTTTTTGAGTTAAGCTAATTTATTAATATAATGCAATTTAAAATCAGGCTTTATCTGATTATATTTTTAAATTTATTGCCACAGTTTTGCAGTTAAAACTCTAAGCTGGCTACACTTAACACGAATTCCCAAAAATATACTTTTTTTTTGTTAAATTTCCTACAACTTTTCAACAAATTCAAGTTGTTAGCTGCGCAACTTTGTGCACATTTATTTAATATTTAAATTGTTTCATTTCCAACGTTTCGCCCGGCAGCTCGTGCATAGTTGTCAGCTTTTGACACGCAGCGCTGGGGCGCGCTTTTTAAATGCCGTTCGAAATGAGATTTATTGTATCATAAATGCAAATATTTTAATTCAATTTGCGTTTGATTAGATTAAGTTAAACTTGAAATAGAAAAGTAATTATGTATGCTTTCTCCCAATTAAGTTCAAGTTTAGGGTCAAGTCAAGTGCCAGCTGCTGCTTACTAATGAGATATTAGTTTGGACTTCAAAGAAACAACAAAAGCACTTCAAAAAATTAATTTCAAACTAGTTTTAAAATGTGAAATGTGCCAAACTGAAGAGCTGTTCATTTTGCATATGCAAAGTGGGTTTCTAAAACAAAACGGGGCTGGACTTAGATAGAGGAGGGAATGAAGAAGGGGGCCAGACTTGGGGCAACGTCTTTGACCGGTTATAACATTGAATGCAGCAGCAATTGTTGCGACTTGCAACGTCACAGTTGCAGTTGCAGTCGCCAGTTTCGCTTTCATTGAACGTTGATGAAGAAATGGAAGACGACGACGAAAGACTCCGCATCATGGCAAATAGTAGGAGAAATGAGCTGGCAAAGAAAAGCGACAAAGCGCAATCAAACTGGAAAATTGGCAAAAACGCTGAGCAAATTTTATAAAGGCGCAACGAGGCGAACGCCTGGGCGCAGTTGTGGAGCAGCCGCAGTCGATGTCGTTGTCCGGATCACGCGAAAGTGAAAAGTCGGCCTTGAAAGTGAGAGTGAGAGTAAAATGCAGTCACAAAGGAGATGCACCTGGGGCCTACTTAGCCTACTCAGCCTGCTGCAGCTTAGTCTGGCCTTAAGGGTTGAGCCAGCGCCCAGCAATGCCACCACCATGCCCGTCTATCGCGTGTCCCGCCCGCAGTCCAAGCAGCCTGCGCAGCGCGTGCCTCCACATCTGCAGGACATACGGCCCGGCTATGTGGACGAGGATGCGGGCGATGTGATACGCATTATCGAGCCGCCGCCGCACTTCCAACAGCTCAAGCGCTTGCAGCAAAGGCAACCGCACCCACAGCCACAGTTAGTGGGAAAAAGGCCAGTGGCCGTCGTCTGGGAGCAGCCGCGCAAGGTGAGCACAAATCGTGCCAGCGGGGATCTGCTGACGCAGGAGACGCAGCTGGCGGCACAGTTCGCCAACAATAATCAGCTGCAGCTGCCAATGGAAATACTCGCCTCGGTGCGCAAAACGGAGCGTCTGCTGCAGCGTCAGCGCCAGCCGCAGCTGCCGGCGCTGCGCCAGCGTCACATCCAGCGCCAGACGCATACGCTCATCGCCCAGAAGTACCTGGAGCAGCAGCTCCAGCAGCGCGGCCAGCAGCAGCGCCTGCGCGCCGCGCTGCTGCCGGGGCACAAGCGCAGCAAGCGGGTGAAGCGACAAGCGGAGGGCGGCGACGAGGGGGGCAGCTACGATGTGGCGCATGGCCTGCAGCTGGTGGCACACATTGGGGAGCTGCTCAAGAATGCCACGCGCTATGTGCCCGACGAGGAGCCCGAGAAAACGACGACAAATGCAACCAACCGCGACAATCGACGGCGACGCCAGCGGCTGTTCAGGCTGGGCGCAAAAAAGACGCCCGCAAGGGGGCGCAACTTCCGGCATGAGGCAACCACAACAACAACAACAACAAAGGCAACAACAACAACAACAACAACAGCCACTTTGGAGACGACTTCGGGCTTGACAACTTCCGCAACTCCATTGGCCAGCCGCTTGGTCAACTCACGCAAATCACAAAATAACCGCAATCAGCCGCAGCCGCAGCAGCTGCTCGCCTCGCCCTCCTCTGTGCTCTATGCGGATGTCATGGCAACCATACGCAATTTGTGGCAGGAGCACGATCTGACCGCTGGCCCGCAATTTGTGGCCGCGCAGCAGGTGCGCAACAACAGCGACTATCGCGCCTTGGATGTCTATTTGAAGGAGCTCGACGAGATCGCCCGTAGGCTGCCCTCGGTGGCGCCCATTACGGCGCTCAATCAGGAGGAATTCGCGCTGGCCACGCCCACGCCCAACTGGTATCTGATCAACAAGGAGGGCATGATCTATGAGACGCGACTGACAAGCGAAACGAAGCCAAGCTCCACGCTCTTCCATCTGTTTCCAGATATGCCCAAGGCAAAGGATCCCATCACGACGCAGGACCTGGAATAGACCACTTGAATTTAATTGTTATTTATTTTCCTCTAGCATTAAGTTAAGTTAAGTTCGACTGTCGCAAAAAGAGATTACCAACTTTATAAAACTTTTAGTTAGGAAATATTTGTGAAATTTTTACCTATGTCTTTATAGGATATTTGAGGGTACCATTTTCACATGAATTTTGACCAAAACTAATGTTGTCAGATTTAGATGTCAAATTGATTAAGAGGCCAAGCCACAACCTTGTGAACATTCATGAGGGCCTGCTGAAATTCAACAAGGCAGGAAACGTTGCCTTCAACGGCCTGTGGAGAAGCAACTTGTGGCAATGGAGCAGGAGGCGGCGGTGCACCAGGTGGAGGTGGGTAGGTAAGTGAATGTATGTATGTAGATTTATGTTTTTATATGTACGTATGTGCATATGTACTTATGTATGGTATATATGTATGTATGTATGTATGAATGTATGCATGCATGCATGTATGCATGTATACATGTATGTATGTATGTATGTATGTATGCTTGTATGCATGTATGCATGTATGCATGTATGCATGTATACATGTATGTATGTATGTATGCATGTATGTATGAATGTACTTTCATCACTATTTTGATAACTTCCAGCAGCAAAGTACATTACAAATACGTATTTTTAATACATGCCCTAATTTGCTTGTGTGCCGTTTGTATTATATGTTTATATACATGAGTGGGCACAGGGTAACTTCTTGTCGTGCACTGCCAACTAGAGCACAATTGCTTTAATTTAAATATATTTTTAAGATTTCAATAACTCACATACATTTTAAAAGCCCTTGTTCCATGCATGTTTGGGGTGGGGGGCCTAATGAGTCTTTGGAGTCTCTTGCTGGCCAGCCAAGCATTTAATTTGGGTAATTACAACGGCTGCGTCGCAGGTTCTTGGTTAATGCGGCAATTTAGATAAGCCAACTGGCAATTAGCTGGCTAGCTGGAACCTTAGCTAGTTCTCTTAACGTGCCAGAGCCCATTGTCTTGAACCCTGACCCCGCACAACATACAAATTGCTGAGAAACAACACTCAAAGCATGAACACGGCTGCAAAGCTGTCAACAATTAGCAGTTGGATGAAAGAGAAAGAGAAGTGCAAAAGAATAAAGAAAAAAGATCATAAACTATTTTGACCTCGTTACCCAGTAGCTTCTAACCAGAAAAGAGACGCAACTGAGCCCAATGAACTTGAATAGTGTAAATAATGAAAACATGTTTCTATTTATGTCTAGCGGACATTACCCGGCTTTGCCCGACCCAGTTATTTCCCTTTAAATTTCAAAGATACCGTTTCCACTCTTTTAAAATATTTTTCATAGATATTTAAAAACTGAAGTTGGTCGCAGGAGAAAATAGAAAAATATAAGCTATCTGAAAATGGTAAACAACAATTTTCAATCGATTTCACCTATTTTTGACATTAATGGATAAAATATTGGAAATCGCTGAAAAACGTATTTATTCCGTTTTATTTTAGCTTAGAAAATTGTTGGGAAATTCTTAAACTCTTCCCATCGTATGGAAAACAGAAATGTTTTGACTATGGAGATAGGAAACAATTGACTTTAAATTAATAAATATAGTATTTTCGACTTCCGTTTAAAAGTTAGTAGCACGTATTTGCCAAATAGTCTTATATCAGATTTGCCTTTCTTGCTTTTATATGGGCCCCTTTTTCGCATATTTTGTCTGTTACATTTTGAGAAGTTCCAAATGGACGCGTTCTCATTTCCACATTTATATTTTTTTGACGTTTTATGTTTAACTAGAGTTCTATTTTTATTGTTTTAGAATGTTGTTTAGCAACTTTGCCAAAAGTTTAATTTATTTTAGAGCGTGTGCTTTGCGCTATGTGTTGGTGGACTGGACAGCCATAAATAAAGCTTTTTAAAAATCTTGGATGCTGCCAAGCGTGTTCTTGTTATGTAATCACAGCTTTCTCTACGTCAGAAGGTTTTTGAACTGCTGCAGATATAGATTTATTTTGACAATTGCAATTGAATTGAGTACAAAAATTTGTAGGCTTTCAAGAATTGATATTGCTTGCGACATTGACCCCACTGACCAGAGCCAGAGAGAGAGGGAGGGTGAGAGGTAGACAGAGTTAACAGCATTGTAATTAGTAATCGGTCATGCAAGAAATAGTAGCCCCTCGAGGCCCCAAGGCACGAGTTGCGAGTACCAAGCACTGAGTACGCTTCATTGAGAAGCTGGCGTGTGGGTGGCTGCCCGCTGGTGGGGCATTGTTAGAGGCACACGCAGCCATGGAGTCGCCCAAATGGGGGAATTTTTTCTGTTTTTCAGGTTTTTTTTGTGATTTTGTAGACAAATTTTCGTAGACAATTGTTTTGTCGCTGCGCTTTGATGGGCGACGTTGCAAGAATCGCTGGCATTATATAAACATACAGCACAGCTCCAGCGTCAGTCAGTTGTACACTTCAAGTGGCAAGAAGCAAGAAGAAACCCAAAACTAATCCGACAAAATGTTCAACTTGCGCTCTGTCTATCTGCTGCTGGCCTGCGCCTTGTTTTGCCTGCTGCTGAGCTGCTCGGAGGCAGCGCCACGTCCGCAGGAGGAACAGAGCGCGGCCGGCGACCTGGAGGCGGGCGTCGAGGCTGAGGAAAAGGATCTGCAGGGCGCCGCTTCCTATGGCTATGGCTACTATGCCTCACCTTATCTGGGCAGCTACTATGGCGGCGGCGGCTACTGGCCCCACTATAGCGGCAGCTACTACGGCCTGGGTGAGTTTGGTGAGTCCGCGGATTGGCCAAGGGACCAAGGGGTCCATCTAATGCCTGCTAAACTGTTTGGTCTTTATCTCACTGACAGGCTATCCCTACTATGGCGGCTACTATGGACTGCATCACCATCATCATGGACACTATGGACACTATTTCTAAATGGGAATCAACCTCTCACCTCATAGCTCATGCTAAGCACTCAGCGAGGCTGCGTTAGTGACCAAATTCCTTAGTAGTTTGCACTTTAGCTTCAATTTAATTGCACAAGGATAATTGCTTTAATTAAGCAACAAAATCATAACAAAAAAAATAGAACGAGAGAAATGAAAAAAAAAAACAATATTAATTAATAGCTACAATCGTTTCAACTTTACGACCTACATCTTCTAAAGAAGTCGCAATACCCATACATTCAGAAGTATTATATACATATTAGATGTCATAAAAACAAAGTGAACCGTTGCCGAAAACGCCGAGATAAATAAATAAAATGTAAACATTTTAAATTCAACTGTGGTTTCGGCAAATATGTGCAGAGCCCATAACTCGACTTCGAACCCGACTTCTACTTCAACTTGCGCTAATTAACTGACTCTTCAAACAAATTAAGAGCCGAATTAATCAGCGCCGGCGACGTGACGAGCCACAGGCGTTGCCCATTTCTATGCAAATGAAACAAATTAAACTCAGGTTCTCGAAGTGCTCGCAAATCAGGTAAGAACTTTGTCACGCAATTCGTAGATAGACAGTAGCTGATGTTCGTTTGCTTGCTTTTGGGGGGCGTATGCGTTATTTATGAGCGTAATAAAACGGAGAGTCGCTTCTTCGAGCACATTATGTAAGCCCTTTGCAGCTGACATTTGGTCAGCGCCAAAAAACAATTAGCTATTGGCCCATAAATAAACACAACGCCAAACTTTGTCCGTCTGAGCCAACTGTCAGTCAGTCTGTCTGTCCGTCCGGCTGTCTGTCTGGCCGTCCGGCTGTCTGTCCGTCTATCAGCTTGTCTCTTGACGAAAGGTCGCGCGGAAGTGCTGCAGCCGAACGGCAAGATTAACGGGCAAAGGTGACAGACAGGCTTATAACCGTTTGATTCGATTCGATCGTACGGATCAGCTTCGCATAAAATTTACATGCCAAATTAATGATGAATGGGTGCGCGGCAGCTGTGAACCTTGCCAAAAAAAAAGCAAGCCAGAGTGCGTTAGTTGGCAATGCCCGGCTAGAAGATACCCTGGAGTCGGCAACGAGTCGAACGAGTCGGACTTAGACTCCTGACCAATAATATTTTTCTCTACTTTGTGAACTCCTTTGTCTTTTAAAAAGTTTATTTATTCTCACTTGATTCCTAGTAATTAATTTATTGGTCCATGCCCAAATTATTTTAACAAAAACATGATACCCTTTTATGGCAATTATCAATGGGTATAAAAACACACAAAACTCACAATTGTCGCGCTTAAATCATGCCAAGAATTCGATGCGTTATTGACCTTTGTTAACATTTAAATACTTAAGCTGAATATGACTTTTATTTTCGATATTTGTTTGCCACATAAATGTCAATATCAAGAACATTTCAGGGTATTCATTCACAAAACGCTTTGTCTTGTGTACGCTTTGTATTCATATTTGCAGACAATGCTGTTAAATTGGCTATTAAATAATCATTTGTTGAGTGGCGCTCACGTTTTGTATATACTTATTTTGTATATTTTTCTCATATTTCTTTCTTCTCATTTGGCTGAAGCGTGGCCAAGCTGAGCATTTATCATAATTGATGTTTGCCAAATTTTCAAATTTTTGCAATTCTATTTTAGGCAAGCCGCCAAAGCGATAAATATTGGTTAAATGAAGCAATAAACTTGTTTTTAAATACAAATCAAAATCAAAATCGAAAAAAAAAAAACATTAATTAACAACAATAACATTCCGCAGTGCACTTGCTTGCGCTTACAGTCAACAAACGGATGAAATATTCGGATTATTTTTGGATCATTGCTCATGAATAAGTCGCATGAATGGCCCAAATTTTGAAGTGCATGACTTGCCCAATAATCACATTAAATGGGTTTTACACACTCATTACGAAAGCGAAAAAAAAAAAAATTAAAGAGGAAACAATGCAACAAACCGGACTAGCAAATTGTCGAAGTCCAAGAATAATCGAAAAGCGTAAAGTCATGAGCAGGTTTTCCGAGATGTGAGCTCTTTAAACGTTTAAAGATATTGTATCTGCTGGGTTATATATATTCCAAACAATTGTTGGACGCGAGTTCAAGTGCACGATCGCCCACATTTTGATTGATTTCTTTGTGCGTAGCTGCGTGGGCTGTGTAATAATTCAATTAGACGCTAATCGGGTCATTAGCGGGACGCCTTGAACAATCAGATCTTGCTGGCGTTAAAATGCAATCAGCCCTCCTGGTTTTTCTTATGGTAATTATATGCGATTATAGATAAATAATCAATCTATATGCATGGGGCATTAACTGTTTAGAGTCGGCTTAAAGCTGTTGCGAAAAGTTCTTGCTGCGACAAGTTCGTGTCTTAAGTCTTTCGTTTGACTGCCTCATTGATATGTGGCGCACATAGCGCAGGGCAGCAGCCACAACAAAAACAACAACAACAACAACAACAATAATAACAACAACAACAACAATATTAACTACGTCTGCGTCGTGCTCGTCTGCTTGCCACCAAGGACACAGCTGCATACGCACTTGAACCCCATCCTGTTGCTGCTGCGACTCGCGACCCTCAAAACTGGCCATTGAACTGGCCGCAAAAAACGTGTTCGACTGTTCCGCTCGCTGCGGCAATTTGGCGACTTTTGTGGTGTGCTGCCGCAGGTGAGAATCGAGCTGGCCGCGACCTGCGGTCGGTCTCTCGGTCATGCCAAAAGGCATTTAAGTTTCGTCTTTGACCTTGCACGCTGATCTTCGTGCGATCTTCATGCGATGTTCATATGTGTGAATGGTTCACCACAGGGCGCGGTGCGTGTGTGTGTGGGCTGTTGTTCTGCTCTTTTCTGAGACGCCCCGCACACCTTAATTACCTGTGTCCCATGCTCGAGTTGGCAAGAGCAAGGGCAATCAATTGTGGCCAGTGTGGCTCTAAATGCATCCGACCAGAAACGCGCCCGAAAACAAGACAAACAAGTGCGCTCTAGTCGGGAGTGCCCGAGTTGGAGATACCCTGTGCTGACGTTACAAGCAGCCTTGGTTGTCGTTAAATATATCTCACACTATAGGGAGGTATTCATAATTAACTTAGGTATTTATAGTCCGATGTTTATGACATTTTTATGATTACTTCGAGAATTTATATCTCGAATTTTAATGGACGGATGGATAGACAGACCGACATCGCCATAACTATTCAAATCGTCCTCCGGTTAAAGATTTCTTCCTGTAAAGTTTTATGCTCTTTATGCTCTTGATGCTTTCCTTAATCGGTTACATACATTTGCACACAACAATCATGCCCTCTCGCCCATTATTATTGGGTATAAGCAAACTTTACCAGCTCGTAACTTTATTACCAGCAATTCCAAAAGTCAAGCGCTTTAATTAGCCTTTAACTTCCGCAACATTTGCAACATTTGCGTTAAAGAAGTTTTTTTTTCTCGGTCGGACATGGTATTTATTTTTTGGCCATCCTCCATATCTAACATGGTTGTGGGTGCACTACTCCCGAGTCAAGTGATTTATGAACGCACCGAAATATTCATAAATAAAACTTTACGGCATTCGTTTGATTTGTTAAACTAAGTATTATTTGGCTTTGATTAAAGCGTTCGGTGCCGTTCAGTGAGCCATATAATCAGAGCTGCGGCTAGATTAGCGAGAGCTAAGAAGGAAACAAAATAGACAATAGCTGTTCAGCTGTCCATTTTGGCACATATTCTAAATCATAATATAATAATCATTATTTTGCGTCAAATTGCTGACGGGAAGTCTCATTTGATTTAAGGCCATATTTCTGCTTGTTAGCTGTGGAAACAACGACATCATTCACAGTCACAAAAGCCAGCACATCAAATCCTCCAAGCTAAGGTCACGCATGCTGTAAACTTTCTAAACGAAAACCAGAATCGATAAACAGAACCCGATCTCCGCCTGCAGCTCCACTTCCTTCTTTGTAACAGGATCAGATGGCGCATCTCCCGGCACTTAAAACTGATAATTCATTGTGCAGCCGGACCTGAAGTCGAAGCTGAACCCAATGACTCTGATGCTACAACCTTGAGGCAAAAGTGCAAAAATTGTTGACGTTTTGTTGTTGCTGCTGCTGATCTGTTCATGTTGTAGGATGTATGTAATTAACTTGAACTTGTTGTTGTTGTTGTTGTGATTGTTATTGTTGCCGGTTTAAGCTGCCAGTCGCTGTGCTGCTGCTGCTGCTTTTATGACCGAAAATTTATATTGCAAATAAAACCAAAGTTCGGCTGCCTCAAAAGCTAATCGTTGAAGAATGTTTGCTATAAATTAAATGCTCAAATTTCTCAAATTTATTGCAGCCGCTGCCTATAAAGAATGTACAAAAATTCAATTAGAAGTGTTGCATTTGTCATTATTATACTTATATTTATTATTGTTGGTTGTATTACTATCATTATTGTTGTCTTTTTTTTTAATTTTATTGTTATCATTATTACTCTTTTTTATTTTAATTAATATTACTATTATCATGATTGTTATTACCAGCATCCCATTTCTTTAGCCAGAAATTGTCTTGAATTGATTTATATGTCAGAAATTAATTATGTCTCGGATAAGTGAACTCCCAAAGGCACACATCGCAGACAGAAAATATTAATAATCAACTATCAACTATAAATTTATTCGACATTTATTGTCAATTGGTGTTAGTTGGAGTTGTGGGAAGAGCATATTTGCGTCGGCCTTGCGCTGTCAGTTTACTCTGCCAGCTAATTTATTTATTTTGTCGTTGTATTGTATCATTTTTCATCAATATTAAAAAAGTATCGTTGAGGTTTATTGAACTGCTTTGCGGATTTGCAGTAGGTGAAAATGCTTGCTGCTGATTCATTTGTTGTCGCTAATTTTACATCGCGGTTTGATTGAGCAGAGTTTATTTATTTATTTTATTTTAATATTAATTTACCTTTTTTTGTATGCCACTGGCGAAATTGTTGTAGTCGTTGGTCAGGTGTCGAAATCCATAAAACCGCCAAGTGAACTTATTATTTATGTGTCAGGTGCGAAGCATCTTAACTAGTTCTGGCCAAGCACATCCTGACAGCGACTGTCACTGGGATCGCATACAAATCAGCGTGGAGCTCGCAAAGAGAACCTGTCCACTTAGCCGAGCCAATACTGGCAACTAAATTGCGCAATTAAATGCTTGTATTTTAAGTATTTTCTATTTTCATAAATATTTAAAATCGTTTTCAGACAAGCTGCGGCTGCGTAGACTAAGCGGCTTTAGTTTGGCTTTATATAATAGACTTGGGTCTGTATTTAGAACAGA